TTTCCAGTTGCTATTGTTCTTTTCCCCAAAAAATGTTTAATTTTTTTCTATTGTTTTTCATAGAATTTCTATTGAAAATAGTGGCTGAATTTTACCAGATGCCTTTTTAGCATCTGATATTAATTATAAGATTATATATGTATATATATATATACACACACACACATATATATATACATACATACATAGACACTATGATAAAAATCTAATTTTTGCAAGGTAAAACTAGTTTTGTGATGATCATTTAAGAAAAATTATCCTTTTCTGCTGAATTAAAATTTAACCTTTGACTTGTACATTTTCTCATATGTGGTGGAATATACAGGGTAGGGCAAAAATAGGTTTACAGTTGTGAGTACACATAACACAGTTTATTCTTGTATTATTATTTATTAATTATTGTATTATTTCCCATATGAACAACTGTAAACTTACTTTTGACCCACCCTGTATATTTATTTATTCTGTTCCACTCATCTATGTGTCTGTTCCTATGCATGTGTCATATTGATTTTAATAATATTTCAGTATCTGTTCAATGAAGTCCACTTTTGGTTTTCTCCTTTTCAGTTTTCTTGGTGGTTCTTGGACTTGCTCCTTTATAGCTTTAAGATCTTATATTGACATTTTAAAATCTGTTGAGGTTATTTCTCAATATAGTTATTCATACATATGGGGAAAAGTTAATACCGTGAATGAAATATTTTTCTAGGTATTTCCTGCTAAACTAGGGGAAATTTTTATTAATTTTAAGTGTATTATATCACACCTCAATTTATTGTTTTAATTTTAGTTTTCTTTTACTAGAATTGTTTGAGTTATCTATGTATCCCATCAAATCATTAGCAAAAGATAATTTTTTCTCTTTCATTCTAGTACTTTGTACTATAGTCTTCAAGTCAGTGTTGAATTATAAAGGACTTAGTGGGCTTCCTGCTCTAATTCCTAATTTTATTCATTTGATTTATTGAATGAGTAATAACATTTATATGACTAAAATAATTTTGAAAGTTTCCTGTGAGCAGTCTCCTTCCTATCCCGCCCCGATCTGTCCATTTTGCACCCTGTTTTCAGCCTACCCACTCTTGTTGGATCCCTTCCATAGATCATAAAATTTCCATATAGAAGTAATCTACATGTACATCTCTCTCTCTCTCTCTCTCTCTCTCTCTCTCTCTCACACACACACGCACACACACACACACACACTCAGACTATTGGGTGTATACACACACAGACATGTGTGTGTGTATAATCTTAATTTTATTTGAAATAGTTTGTGTTTTGCTCTCCAGTTGCTATTGTTCTTTTCCCCAAAAATTGTTTAATTTTTTTCTATTGTTTTTCATAGAGTTTTGATTGAAAATGGTGGCTGAATTTTACCAGATGCCTTTTTAGCATCTGATATTAATCATAAGATTTTTTTCCTCCTTAATATGTTGGTATATTGGCTTATGTTGAACCATTCTTCCATTTCAGCAATAAATTATAACAGCATAACTTTTTGGATATGTGGCTGGACTTTATTGTCTAATTTGATTTTTTTACTTAGAATTTCTACATTTAACTTTTAAGTGAAATTGTTTTATGGTATGTTTTGTGTACTACCTTTATTAGATTTGGTATTGAGTTATTCTGACTTCATAGAATGAATTGGAACATTTTTCTATGATTCAATACTATTTGAGTTATGTTCTTGAAAGATTAAGAATCTGCTGAGAACCTAGCTGGCCTTGATGTCTTTTTCTGTAGTAGATTTTTAATTATCTTTAATTTATGGTATTTGGTTCTATTCTGTTTTATAAATGTCTCAGAATCTCCTTTAACTCTTCTTTTTCTCTGGAATTTTTCTCTAATGATTCTCACCTCCCTTCACCTTGGTTTGGTGCAAGTCTTATTCTAATCTTCACATAACAGCTGAGATCTCATTCTGAGAAGTTTTCCCAGTTCTCTATAACATAAATTAATTTCCAAATTGTTACTCTCATAAACTTTGTGTTTTTAGTGTATTCATATTATTCCTGTTACTAGTTGCCCGGTGCATGGATTTGTGCCCATTGAAGGAAAATCAAGGACACGTGGTCTGGGAGCCGCGCTGCATGCCTGGAGAGTTTCCATGTTCCTGTGAGCCACTGAGAAGTTGCTTGGGGAGTCTGTTCCCCTCCCCGCAGCTTTCTGAAAAAGTATTTCCAAATGTCCCTTCTATGGCCAAGGTTGCGCCTTGCTGGCTAGGAGGTCCCTGGTGGATGCCTTGGGCCTTGCTGGATGCTTTCCACCGTTCAGAGCTGGATAAGAGACACTCCGAGGTGAACAATACAAAGTTGGGAATTTTCGGGGGTGGGGGTGCTCTGTTGCCCACACCTCCACCCTTCAGATCCATCTCTCTGACTTTTACCTCAATTGTCAGTTGCCATCTTGTGGCCACTGTTATATTGCTGCTTTCCTCTGTAGCTCAGGGGCAATAGGTAAGGGATGAGATTTGATCTCGATGCCTGAGGCAGAGTTCCAGGAGTCTGGCAGTGACATCAGGCTTGTCCTGGTTACTCCGAGTGTCAGCACTTCAACTGTTCTCTGGAGATTGTAACTCCAGACTTATGGGGTACGAGGGATGTAGCAGTGTGCTAAGCGGCAGATGGCCGGGGAGGAGCCCAAGCCGGGGCCAGGCACCACTCCCACTGTGCCTGCCACCACCACTGCAGCTGCACTCGCCAGCTGTGAACCCGGCTTCTGACTGAGCTGTGCTCCCACTGTGGGAGCGTACTGACCACCAAGGGGCAGCTCCTGCATTGAGCATCTGTTCCCTGGTGGTCAGTGTGTGTCATAGCGACTGGTCGTTGGGTCGTAATGGTCACTTAGGCTTTTATATATATAGATTATAGGTATGTGTGTAACTACTTTTTATTTTATCCTCTCCCGTCCTGTCTAATAAAGAGGGAATATGCTAGTTGACCCTCACGCTATTGCAAAGGTGGTGGCGCCCACAGCCAATAAGGAGGGAATATGCTAATTGACTGCCACACCCTCAAAGATGACGGCACCCACAGCCAATAAGGAGGGAATATGCTAATTGACTGTCACACCCTCAAAGATGGCAGCATCCAGTCCCCTCAGCCCCACTGGGGCAGCAGGTGCATGGCAAGGCCGGGCCTGGCTGCTCTGCGTGCCTGCATCCAGAGGCCCCCAGCCACCTCAGCCCCGCAGCCACCCAGGGCCAGCCTGAGGTGCAGGCAAGCCTCAGATGGTGGCTGCCCAGCTGCCCAGGGCCACCCAAGGCTCAGTTAACCAGGGCCGGCCGAGGCCTGCGCTGCCGGCAGTGGCAGCAGCAGAGGTGTGATGGGGTGTCGCCTTCCCCTGATCGCCGGGTCACCTCCCGCCCCTGAGGGCTCCTGGACTGTGAGAGGGGGCAAACCAGGCTGAGTGACACCCCGCCCCCCCTCCCCCCGCCCCTTGCACGAATTTTGTGCACTGGGCCTCTAGTAGTTTAATAAGCTCCTACATTGCTGGGATCATATCTTACTGATGACCTTTTGCCAATGTCAGCCTACCTAGCTACCTTATTAGCGAGAGTGAAAACTGTATATTGACCAGTAATCAGTTTTGTGGCTTGGTGTTGCTGTTTTGTCTAGGAAATGCAATCAGCAACATTTTAAGTAGAGTTCTTTGTACTTTGTATCTGCTTTTTTAGGACAGGTATTTCTTAAGTCAGCAAGAAAATTAAGTACAACAGGAACTTCATTAAAGCCACAATTTAAGATACCAAAATGTGAAAGGTTTCTAACTTTACCCTGAACATTTTGCATATATCATTAGTCACTGTTAGACATTTTGATCTTGCTTAATATAGTTCAGTGCTGAATGTGTATTTTAATGTACGAGTTTTTGACATCAACATCTTTAACTTTCATCTAATTTATAATCTTAACTTTGAGTTAATGGAAATATTTGTCTCTATAGATTGTGGTTTGAAACTGCTAGTAAGTTCAGGCAGTAATACATGATCTTTAGCTCCTAAACCGTGAATAGTAGGTTTCATTTTGTGTAAAGATCTATGTCTGAATTGAATGGGGTCAAAGTGTCTGAATGGAGAATAAAGTAGTAGAATGCTAATCAGAAAATGAAAGTAATAGACTCAGTCCTTCCATTATTAATGTACACTATATTCTGTAATCTAAATGCATTGTAGGTATTCATTGTTTTTAAAATTGGTGGTAATAGCCCCTGCTACTCAATAGTTTGTCAAGTACTTCATCACCACTATTTTGAAAATGTTTTAACTTTGTGTAGCTTGTTGAATTAGCTATCTGTTATCCCTGTTTGATTGATGAAGAAATTGAGACTTAGAGAAATAAAGTCACTCAACATTTGGCTAGCAGTAAAGTAAGTAATATATTTGGAATGAGACCCCAGAATCTACCACACAGTTAAGACCTTTAGCTGCAATCATGCTGTGATATGATTTTGTTTAAAGGACTCTGCGTAAATGCACTGATGTTATTATCAAAGAGTTATCTTGAATGTCACTATTTTAT